AAAACATTCAGTCAAAGAACATCATCGACTACTGCCAAACGTAATCTTCAATCCTCTCATTCTGCAATAATTTCAGAGTGCCATTGTTATCTCCACCAAACACACACTTCTAACGTTCCTTCAGTCTTCTTTCATATCTTTGTCTTTCCTATACCATGTAACAGAGCTGATTCCAATTGAGTGCGATGCACTGAACTGATATGAACTATCTGGACTTATAGTTCAGTTAATCATACTAACATCAATAGCATCTGCATGATTGCATGTCACCTTGTTTAATTCTCAATAAATACGGAAAGGGTAGTACACCGGGGCAATACCATTTTTGCTCATAGCAATGATATGATGCCCCCTGTACTCGTTCTTGTCCTGTAGGATCTGAATAATAATTCTTATATAAAGAAACTTTTAAAAGTTAATTACATTTATAATTACTATTATTATGCGCTATTGCTTTATATTATTTACGTGCAGTCTTTTTACTTCCTTCTATGAAGTAAAGGAAGCATTATAATTGCGAAAAATTTCAGGTATCATATTTCAACGAAAATATCAGAGTTTACAGATGCGCTTTGCATTGAATTGTGTTTAACGTTGTAAGGATTGTGTTAATTTTATTAACAGTTAAATTTTAAGTTCTTTTCCTGTCAAATTCTTGACTTCAACTTACTACTTTCGGCCAGAAAGTAGTCTTAGAATCACGTCTGAATACATAATGAGGAAGGGCGGTATTTAACCGCGAAGTTCTTTGAGAGAATCAGAGTTTCTGATTTAGGCGCGTCTGCCCTTTGGCCTCTCTCTCAAAGCAGTTATTACGCTCGGCCGTACTCAGGCCCTTCATAAGCTTCGCAGTCATTTGGTGTTTAAGGGGCCAACTGCATTAGAAACTTGATAGCTTCGGTTATATTTCTTTAGTTAATCTTAGTTTTAGTTTAATTCTTAGTCTCTTAAGTTCAAGCCCAAGTGTCGGCTTTGATTGTACACCCCAAGGCGGAGTTTTGTTAAATCTTATTGGAATAATAAAGGGTTATTTACACTTCCATCTTGTTGTTTCTTGTCACACGAACTTAAGCGATTATTCGCTATCTAGTTCTTAAGCTTCGTCACTTTCTACAGTAACTGAGATTTACACAGTGAAAGTCTTACAACATTACTAGCAGTATGGAGTGTAACTACTGGTTGCGCTTAGTAATACTGAGATGAACTGTACGAGTATTTTTTGGGAAGTTCCAGAACTAAGTGCTTTTGTCGGTAAAATAATTTCTATCAAGTTATCATGGATTGTGTGTGCATTCAATCCATTACGAACCCGTATGCTCGAAACAGCATTTTTATTTTCGATGCGCCAATGAACTGCTCTTCGGAATAATGCAAGGTATTTAATTTTACTTTCCAATGTAACAGACGTATCCATTTTTGGTTAATAAGCTAAACGATTTAACAACAATAAACGCAGCTCGTCATCTTTATTATTATTAATTAATTATTACTTTGTCGAACTCGTAAAATTATGCTATCTAGACTCGTTAAAATCATTTCATTTCTTTTCTTTTTATAGCAATTACTTCAGGTGGCTGGCCGTGCAAACAGCTATTTAATTATAAAAGAACGTAAAAGCTTTAGTTAAATTCCACAACTAATGAATAATAATATTCTTTTTGAATCGATATGCCTTTCTATTGGCAACAACTATTTAGTTTAATTATTTTTAATTAATCCATTGAACAATTTTTTCACTCAAGTGTTTACTGCATTGCCAGATACGCAGGATTAGTTCTGGCTACATCATTTTCACTAAACTAAAACAACAACCTTTCTGCTTAATTTATAAGTCAAACAACAAAAATCAGCGTTATATTTTCAAATTTTCACAGGACTAGTTTCGATGGATTTGCCGAACCATCATCCTCAGCTCAAAATCATCGAAATTAGTCCTGTAAAAATTTGAAAATATAACGATATATAAATAACGAAAATATAAATAAAATATCAATTAACAAAAATCGGTGTTATATTTTCAAATTTTTACAGGACTAATTTCGATGGTTTTGAGCTGAGGATGATGGTTCGGCAAAACCATCGAAACTAGTCCTGTGAAAATTTGAAAATATAACGCTGATTTTTGCTGTTTGACTTCTAAATTAATACTTGTTCGGCGTGTTATCGTATCTTAACTTCTTTTTGAGTTTCTTGTAACCTATTGTTTGTGCCCATGACGGTTAACATCTTCACTGAGGATGTAGCTTCTCTGTTAATTACCTGTTCCGATATCTTACGGGGACAGGAAAGATATAGAGAAACCTCATAGATTGGAATTTAGTATGACGTGCATAATTGATAGAACAGCTGTTCAGCCGATAAAAGAAAGTAACACTAAACATGGAGTTGTTAAAAACATGATTTTATGAAGAATACATATTTTCATTTGTCTGGAATCTTTTCTTTCCCTTGGTTATATACCTTTAAATCAGTGTTTTTAATATGAATGGATCTTTAGAAATACTTTTCTTTTTTTATAATCATGAGAAAAGTAACACAAATCAACATTCTATAGTGAATTGCTATTACACTCATGTCCATAAATTAAGGTAATTCAGAATCGGAAATTGAACTCTAAAGTAAAAATTTCATCTGTAAAATTATCGCACACATCTTCAAGAATAATATTAAATTACATGAAAAATTAGATTGGAGAGACGTTAGGTTATTTCGAAGCCGGTGAGTGAGCAATGCCTTCGCCGAGAATCGAACTACGAACCTCTGGAATACGTGCCCAGCATGCTAACCACTACACTACAAAGGTATGCTAAGAAGGCGGGAGAAATATCTTATATACTCCCCCTTTTAAAGGGCAACTGAGGTTTAGGGGACCCATTCGCCAAATCCTGGGCGTGGAGAATCATCATCCACCACCCTTTTAGTTCGGGCGCCACTTTAGAGACATTAGGTATTTTTTTGGAAGCAGAAAAGATGAAAAATGAGCAATGACCTCGCCGGGAATCGAACCACGGACCTATGGAACACGAGCCCAGTGTGCTGACCACTACACTACGAAGAAGGAGAAATACCTTATAAGACGACTCCGGTAGTACGTCACAATGATGGGAATGTAAGAGAAGTGTCTATCAAGAACGGTAGCAGAGAAGTAAAATTCTTCACAAGTGTTCTGTATGCTGCTCAGTGCCACAACCGAATAGTTGTGACACAAAGGACGATTGTGGATGACTTTTACATGGTACAATTATTGGCCGCTTGGAATCTGTGTATACTCAGATGGAACTATTCAAGGATTTGGAATAGCCCAAAGCGTCATCTCTAGGCTTGGGCAACGATTCCAAAATGATGTAAATGCCAATAGACGTTACGATACATGTCGCCCTTGAGTTACAACGCCAAACGACGACAGGTAATTGACATTAACTGCCAAAAGAAGCAGACGGAACACAGCATCCAAACCTATATCGTCAGCTATCTTCAGCCACGGGTACTGGTAACTGGTTTTCGTACCTGGCTAGCCAACTTAACGGCATTACAGGGACTGGTGCCGAAACACCAATCAAAAGCCACCCGAAGATGGTCATACACTCCTGCTGAGCCCCAGGGTCCCACATCCCCGGAGACATCAATTTTAGGCTCCCTCTAAGCACCCACCGCTGAACCAGCCAGCCAAGACCACCGTCCCAATGGTTAGAGATTACGATGGGTGGGTTTTGAGAACTTGAAGCGATGACTGGCCGTTCTTTCTGGCAACCTACCAGTACTACGCGTGCTACCCCTCCCCTTAGTCTTTACATGGAATACCAAAGACAGCAGTGACTGGACGCTCGATGGCACAGGTGCTATTTGGCTACCAATACCCTGGTAGATTGGGGACAGCCACGGGTACGACAGTCTCACAGCAAACCGTGTACAGACGTTTGGGACAGATTGGTCTATATACTCGCAGGCCTGTCAAATAGATGTGTTCCGCTCACGGCAACTCACTGTCGCCAGCGGTTAGCCTGGAGTAAATATGCAATGCAGACATCGTCACAGTGGGCTTGTGTGATATTTTTCGACGAGGCCAAGTTTAGCTTGTAGTCTGATTCACATCAGACTTTCATATGGAGAACTTCAGGTACCCTATAAAACCAAGACAACATCACTGAACGACACCGTTGCGGTGGTGCAGGATTGCTCGTTTCGGGTGGAATTACACTGGCCTCCAGAACAGATGTGCATGTTCAGATCGGAAACATGACAGGCCAGTTTTATTCATTCTGGAACAACATGTACGTTTGTTTAGGGAAGACACGGGCGCAGAATTTGTGATTATGGGTGACAACGCCTGTCCTCACCGTGCAAACATTGTAAAGGATTGCCTGCAATCTGAGGGTATTACCCGTATGGAATGGCTAGCATTCTCGCCTGACTTTAATCCCATACAGCATGTGTGGGACATGCTTGGCCGACGAATTGTAGCCCGTCTAGCATCTCCTTACATGTGTACCGGAACTTTGAAGAGCACTGCTTACTGAGTGGAGTAATCTTCTCCAAGATCAGCTGGATAAATTGATACTCGGCATGTCTAGGCGTTGTACGGACTGAATTTCATCATCTAGGAGACATACGATGTATTAACCAACATACCAACCATGTAATGTAAAAGTTTTGTAAAGGATATATTTTTTGCAGTTGCTCCCCGGGAGCAAAATTCGTAGATTTTATGAATGATATTACACATACACCACCATTTTTGTTCTTTATATTTTGTTTAATAAATGGGCTTTATGGATAAATCACTTTTTCTTTGTTCCTCAACCTTTATTTGCCTCAGCTGGCATTATCCTTAATTTATGGACATGAGTGTACTTACTTCAATGATTTTTTATAAAACATGTCAAAACGTGCTCGAGAACTTGTGAAAACTACTATAGCTTAATCTTTCTTTTTGAAATTCTTTTTAAGTATCCAAAGAAATGAGAAAATAAAATAGAAATAACAAATAAATTCAAATTTACCTTGATCTGTCCAATGGTATACCATAAGAAACCCCTTCTGGTGCTTCTATAATGGAGTGTTAGACCTGAGGAGGTTTCCCTCTCGCAGAAGAAAGATGGCGCTTTCATTCGGGGGTAGCTGAATTTCAGATACTCGTGTAGGTTGTCCAAGCCATTCAGAAAGTCCCTCATATGCCGACCGAGAACGGAGAGAACTCTATCATAGCCGTAGTGACCGACGAAGGAGACGAAGTAGACCCCCATACCTTCTAGGAACTCCTTTTCTGTCACACCCAGAACCTACAAAAGAAGGTTTTAGTTTAATTTAACAATTTTTAATGGAAAATCCTGGTAACATCAGTTAAATGAAATACTTTATACAACAGTTTATAAAAGTACTAGCGGAAATATCCAATGCCAGTTAAGTTAGATTGAGAGTAAGGTATCTAACAACAGAAAGAATGATACAGCTGTAAGCCTTCTCTAATAACGATGGAAAAACTAGGATTCCATAGTCATACATTTTTCAGTCTGGTGCGATATGGAACCCACATAAAAAATTTAGATACAAAAATTAATTAATTCTCTCTCATTATGTCAGCAACAATCGCACGCAGTTTTTAATGACTTTCGTCTTTCTAATTAATTGGTCGTAAAAGCTCAAGTTACATTCAATATTTCACCTATATTCAAATTTAGTCGATTAACTGTGGCACAAAATTGATCAGAAATCTATAGCGCAAACACACAAACAGGCATTTTTCTTTATATAAAGAAATTTTATAAAACCTATAAATACGATTTGAAAGCGAGCAGTAGCAACGCTTTTCGAAATAAAGCATTTTTATCTCCAACGTTCAGACTGTTGCCACTCGGAAAAATGAGTGCGGAAATTAGCGCTTTAATTAATATTTCGGCTGATTAAAGTCGTACGAAGATGGGAAGAATCGAAATGGCTTCCCACGAATTTTTGAAATCCGGAATAATGGATTTAATATTCGGCAGTGCTATTTTTATTTATCGTAAAACTTAGAAACATTTTATTAACACATTCTACGATTTTAAAGTGAGCAGTGGCAACAATTCTCGAAATAAAGCAGATTTTTATTTCCAGCATGCGAGACTGTTGCCACTCGGAAAAATTAGGGCGAAAATTAACAATTTAAGTGTTTTTAATTAATATCTCTGATTTTAGCTTTTTTTTTTTTTTTCCCCGAAAATAGTGAACGGCGACCTTTTTCAGGATCCAGAAAAGAATTGTAGAAAGTTTGGTGACGATAGCTATAGCAGTGATTGAGTTAATCGCGAACAAACAAACACAAAAACATTCTTCTTTATTTATACATATTACGTAAGTTATCCTTAACTGCTAGGAACTCAAATCCACGCGTCCGTCCACCACGAGAGAAGAGACCTCACCTGTTAGGAAGGCAACATCATTTACTGCGTTGATAATCGCGGATAATTCATCGAAAGTTATAAATGAATCCAAATTCCGTTACGATAACAGCATTGTTTATTAATCCCCGTTTGCATATTTCACAACTGCACATCAGCGTAGCCACTGAGGGAGGGGTTTCGAAAATGGACCAATGAGCTTCTATTGCTCTTGTGACGCTAAATCTTCCAAGTCTGTGAGCGTATGTTGTTTACGTTTTAATTTGTATTTGTTTCGCAGTTATAAATGTATGACGTAACAGTAGAAAATCTCGTGGTACTTTCGTTTTATGAGTTTAATCAATCGCTGACTTTCGCGATTTTTATCACGCATTAATATTTGGATTGGCGTTCACGGCATATTATCGCTCTTTACATTGAGAAAATGACTCAAGCTACAATTAGCCACGAATATTATGCATTGACTAACACCTGTGGATTAAGAGAATTCAAGTGTACATTTTTTTTTAAATTCTGCTGAGAAGGACTGGAAATGTTACAATGAATCTAGTGTTTCTTATTTCAGTACTTGCATTCTTTTGCTTTTGAAAGTGTAAGATTCAGAGTAATATTGCGTTATGATCTGATTATATCAATTGTTAACATTAAAAGTTAATACGTGAGTAAACTGAATATATTCGTTGTGGATAAGATAAATTCGTTCAGTTTGATGAGTACTTCTTGAGTAAGTATATATAAGAGTGATAGTTATTAAATGTGAAATTTAACACACTAAATATATACGAATCCAAATTAGTACAGTTCACTTTGAATAAAATTCAGCATTGGTTATTATAACATCTTTTTCATATAGACTGCAATAAAAATTACTGACTTCTATTTACATATATAATTGGTATAAACATTTTTCTCACATGCATATGTAGATATCATTTGGGCTCGGATGTTATCATATATTTCTTTTTTTATCTTATTAACCACTTATTAAGTCATTTTTCACATGGATATTTTTGTGGAGTATCCAGCATTTGTTTGTATTTATTTCAAATTCCTTCAACCAGGCAGTGAAATCTTCACAATTGCTTGTATTTGATCCAATTTCACAAAGAAAAGTTCCAGAAGAAATTGACGATGCTGTAATTATTTTGTACAGAAAACTGCGTGGCAGAATATTTTCAACCATCTTGCTTAAATCTTAAACCACGCGAAAGGTCATGTGACATGACAGAAATATTACTGGATGCCCATTGGTCTATCCTAGAAACCACTCCCTCGGTGGCTATACAGATGTGCAATTGTGAAATATGCTTCCCGTTTACATAAAGTAAAATGCTGGGAATGTCTGACATCACATGATTTAGGTGCGGACAATTCTCTACTCATGCTGGACCGACTATAACTATCAACGATTCTAAATTTAGCAATTTAAAATAATGCGCATTTTGGCACAGCCTCGAGGGCTACCTGCCTAACAGGAGTGATATTTTCGTGGAGGACTTTTTGATGTGCGTTTTGTAATTTAAATTCAGTAAATTTCAAACGTAAATGACAATCAGTCCGCTTTTCAAGTGCCTTAAATTTGCAGAGTGTAATGTAAAATGAAAGTGGTTACAAGTGGAGGCGGTTACTTAGGTTCATACAGAAAGTAAAACATTTTACTTACTGTATGAAATATGAACGAATAACCATTTAAAATTATTTTATACTTGTAAATTTATTTAGTAAGATTCAGAGTTAAATCGCATTGTCGCCTGTAAGGTGCTCGATGTTGTTGCCAACGACAGGCGTAAACTTGCTCTCCTTGCCACGAGGAATTTCGTGGGCTTGGGCTAACTATAGGTCAGACTGATGGGCATTAGCACCAATAACGACAACGTTGAAAAATTTCAGAAATGGGGCTAACTCTAGGTCAGACAGATGGGCATTAGCACTTATAACGACAACGTTGAAAAATTTCAGAAATGTGGTAACTATAGGTCAGACAGATGGGCATTAGCACCAATAACGACAACGTTGAAAAATTTCAGAAATGTGGCTAACTATAGGTCAGACAGATGGGCATTAACACCAATAACGACAACGTTGAAAAATTTCAGAAATGGGGCTAACTCTAGGTCAGACTGATGGGCATTAGCACCAATAACGACAACGTTGAAAAATTTCAGAAATGGGGCTAACTCTAGGTCAGACTGATGGGCATTAGCACCAATAACGACAACGTTGAAAAATTTCAGAAATGTGGTAACTATAGGTCAGACAGATGGGCATTAGCACTTATAACGACAACGTTGAAAAATTTCAGAAATGTGGTAACTATAGGTCAGACAGATGGGCATTAGCACCAATAACGACAACGTTGAAAAATTTCAGAAATGTGGCTAACTATAGGTCAGACAGATGGGCATTAGCACCAATAACGACAACGTTGAAAAATTTCAGAAATGTGGCTAACTATAGGTCAGACAGATGGGCATTAGCACCAATAACGACAACGTTGAAAAATTTCAGAAATGTGGCTAACTATAGGTCAGACAGATGGGCATTAGCACCAATAACGACAACGTTGAAAAATTTCAGAAATGTGGCTAACTATAGGTCAGACAGATGGGCATTAGCACCAATAACGACAACGTTTAACAAATTCAGAAATGTGGTAAATTAACCTAACGGCTCACAGGACAATTTAAGGCGCAGGAAAGGCTCTGGTTTATAGAAAACAGGCGGGACAAAGCTGAATGGCTAGAAGCACTCTACGCCACTAAATCAAATCGCTAATAATCACGGTACAACGTGGACTGGAAAAGACAGACACGCTCTAAAACTAACTTCCGAAACTTTCGCTTAAATACCACTCTTAACTCTGTCTACCTTAATCTGAATAAAAGCTGGCTGTCTCTTTTACATTCTCGCACGAAAAGCGAGGGTGAAAAGAGAGTGATAGGAAAGTGAAATAAATATCTATACGTCGCATCTTAATGCCGCAACATTTCCTCAAACCTCCTAAAAGTGGAGATATGCCGCTTTGACTCTGAACCCTTATTTAAGTTACACCCTCCATCATATTCACTTTTTGGTATATTAACCTACCTAACCTATCCTTGAAAAGGACTTTAAGATATGTACGCCCATGGCATTAACTTTCCCTTATTTTGGCTAATTTAAACACCAATCTAATTAACCTCGAATATTTTACTAAGCTTTTATAATTTTGTTGCAAAAATTGAAATTACTAATCATCTGTAGGCCAATAAATAGATATTGAAAAAACTTCTGAAAGCCCGAAGAGAGATAGAACTCCCCCTTTTTCCCTGAAAACTAAAAGTAAGGATTTTTCAGATCGAAATTTGTTAGGAAACTTTGGAATGCAGTTCATTCACTGATGGTCGAACTCTTGTTGGAAGCCTGCCAGGAAAATTCAATTTCACATTTTAGGGAAGGATTTATCCTCTCATTTTAAACACTAACGTCCTTCCTTTATGTTTTCCCTTAAAACTTTTTTATTTAGCTCCAAATAGTCCAGAATAGGATATTAGTCTCCAAACGCAATATTGCACCGAAATATTTAAATGCTTTGTTTTACTTTTCAGATTGCTGCCACCAAATATTATCGACATATATTATATTTAATAAAATAATGAAATAATGAATAATGAATAATGTTAAATAATGAAGAATCTGCATGAATGTATGTATGTTTTAGGAATGTGAAAAACAACAGTACCCATAGGCTTCAAATTTTGAATAATGTAGTCCTCCACCCGAAAGATCGAATTTTGAATTTCGATATTTTTTATTATTTATTTCCTATTTTGTAAAACGTTGACGGATTTGTGATTAACAAACACCAGAATTTCAAAGCGAACATTGGCAACACTGTAAGGATTAAAAATACTTTTATCTCCAGGCTCCGAGATTGTCTATGGAAAATTCTAAAGATATGTCGTTTTTAAATGTTTTATGATTTTGCCGTTGAAACGAATTTCATGTGACGTAAGCAGCAAGAACGTGATATTTAATAAGTGA